CTACCCGAAGGTGTCTCAGAGCGGCTTACAAACTCCTTTCTCTTCCCCTCCCCACAACAGACTCCCTGTGAGGTAGGTGGGGCTGAGAGAGCTCTTGACAGAAACGGCTCTTTTTCAAGAACAGCTCTTATCAGAACTACGGCTTGCCCAAGGTCATCCAGCCAGGTGCAAGTGGAGGAGTGGGGAATCAAACCCGGTTCTCCCAGATCAGAGTCCGCACACTTAACCACTGCACCAAACTGGTAATTCTTTCACCCATACCTGTGTCCGATGGGAGATATCCCCTTTGAAACGTTCGTGGTGGTACCATTTTTCTCCCCTTTCCCCCAACAGAAAAGGCAGCCACCCTACCTCGGGAGCAGAGAAAGCTGCATGCTGAAAAGGTGAGCATGTTTGTGCATATTTGTGTGTGTGGGTGTGTGTGAGCTGATTGTTTGTCTGTGCCATGTGCCGCACATCTCCATGGCTTTTAGCCCTCTGTCTCTGGTTGGCTTTTGATGCGTAGGTTGCCAAAGCCTTCTGGATGGCCATTGGAGGAGACCGGGACGAGATCGAAGGCCTCTCTTCCGACGAGGACAACTGAGGCCCTTCAGAGGCCGTGTTGCGGAGCAGACAGGGATCGTTGGGAGGCCAGCGGCCGCCGTCTGGAGCTGCTTTCACGTTTTCCCCTCCGACAAAGGCCTCCTCCTTTCATCAGAGACTCTAGAAAGACTACAACGCCCCGCTTACTTTGATAACGTCCCACGGCAGCCCGAAAAGTAGGTGGAGCCACATCTCATTCCCTTTCCTGGATTCATCGGTGGCGGCGTGGGCCGCCCGGTTAAAGAAATCGGAAATGGTGTGTTTTCTGGCCATCCTCTTATCATCTCCGATGCCTCCTCTCTTTCTTTCTCTCTGCGCCTGGCTCCCCCCCGTACGCGCCATCTCCCCCCCTTCTGCGTGCCTTCCATTTCAGAGCAGAAGCTGGCATCCAGAAGGGGCGAGGGACCCCTCGGGAATCCCTTCCGCGGGGGAGGAGCCACTTGGCGGAGAAGCGCGGTGGTGGAGGGAGTGATCGGCATCGCCTAAAATGCATTTTGAGGGGTTTTTCCACGTTGCATATTTATCAGTCTGTCGTCACTGGGGCAAGCATGGAAAAGGGAAACGTTTGAAGGGAGGGGGGAGGGTGTTGTGCCCCGGCAGCCGGAAGGGTCTACGGAGGTAACAGGAATGAGAAGAAGCTTGTGTACAGTTCCAGTTTTTAAGTGTTGGTAACACACCGTCTCTGTCCCACAAGCAGACAAGGCAGCAGAGGCTGAGTTTTGGAGGCCTGTGAACCTCTCCTCAGAGGCTGATAACAGCGAACTGTGCTGTTTGGGGTGGGGGGGCGGCAGATGCGGAGGGACATTTGGCAAGTGTTTCGGGGACGGTTCCACAAAGCGGGTCCGTAATCCTCAGGGCAGCTTGGTTGATTCAAAGCGCGGCTGAGTTCTCAAGGACACTCATCTGTGTTTGGAAAGGTATCGAGGTTCCGGCGTTGGGGAGCGGGCACGCTCCGTGTTTGGGCGAAGTGCCGGTTCTTTAGAGGAGGAGCGGTTTGTCTGGGCCCGAACGTTATCACCGGAACAATACGATTCTGCTTCACGGGGACACACGCACACGCACACACAATCTCTCTCACAGAACTCATTTCCACTCAGTTGAAGCACTTTATCTTAAAGCTTAGGTCTGCTTTAAATGTAAAGGTAGGTAGGTAAACTAGCTCTGTGTTGAAAAGGAACGGGGGCCTCCCTCCCTTGCTGTTGTGGGAAGCCAAGGGCCTCCTCCGTCAGAATGTTTTCTGCCTTCAGCCTTGCAAAGGGGGGCAGCCGCAGCGCTGGTGCAGAAGATCTTCCCAGCGGCTTTGGAACCCTTCCCCCCCGCCCACCCCGAAAGCAGGGGCAAGGGGCCCCGGGAACAGCTCCCATCTCTTAATGCTTTTTGTGTACCGTAAATGGGCTGAATAAAGTCTGCTTGAACTACAGGCATGCAGCCCGCCCATCCTGAAAGCAGGGGCAAGGGGCCCCGGGAACAGCTCCCATCTCTTAATGCTTTTTGTGTACCGTAAATGGGCTGAATAAAGTCTGCTTGAACTACAGGCATGCAGTCTCTCCCTCTGACGTTCTTTAGAGAGGTCTTGGTACGGCATCCGTTCTGAGACTTGGATGAATCTTTGGGGGTGAAGGGAGCGTCAGTCAAACAGGGGAGGGTACACAGAAGCAAGCAGGAAACTGAACTGTGCTTCCTCTAAGCTGGTTTAGTGTGAGCTGGCTCACAGTTGTTTTAGCCTCCAGCTCACACATTTTGGTCTCAGCTCAGGAAGGGATGGGGCTCCAGAGCAATCTCATTTATGCAGCAGCTGAATCGCTCACTCACAGCTTTAATGCCAGCAGCTCTCACAAAGTAGGATTTTTTGCTCACAAGACTCCACGGGCTTAGAGGGAGCACTGGTTGGGGGTGCTTCCGGAGGAGAACAGTGGGGCTGATTAATTTCTTATACAAAATGGACCAGCCCGGTTTTCACAGTTGCAGAGCCATCTCCTGTAAAACGAGTACACAGTAAACATTTAAGTCAAACACGTTGAAAGTTTTGTAGCCGGTGGGTCACCTGCAGAAATGCCCCATCCTCCAGAACGGTGACCTACGTTGGACCTGTTGAGGACCGAAATGGATTTCCCGGGTGTCATGTCCACTGTGCAGCCCGACCCAGTGGACCCTGATCCTGGGGATTCTGTACCTTCGACGGCCGAGAACGAGCTCCCTGCACCCCTGGAAGTACCAAACCTAAGTCCTGCAGAGGATGAGCACCAGCTACCAGGAGAGTTTACACCTGGAGCCACTCCTGCAGAGCCAAGCACCAGCACCACGACTCCTCCTGATTCCCCCCCCCCACACCTCTGAATCGTTTGAGACAACAAAGGTGACGGGACGTAAAGAGGCACGCATGCGAGGTCGGCGTCCTCTAAATCCAGAGTACTGACAGGAGCCAGTGCTCTGTGAGCAGCCAGTAATTGGTTAAAAAGAGGAACGGGCTTTTAAGGTGGCTCTCTCGAATCCCCAACTCGTGCTGGCAACTAATCGCATAGACAAATCGCTGCACCTTGGATCCTGCGTTCCTGTCTCCTGGTTTTCTTTGTGACTCCCCCGGCTCTTGACTTCGGACTGTGTGACTTCGTTCCTCTGGCTCCCTGACTTTGGACTGTGTAACCTGACTCCTGACTACAGCTTCTGAAACTCTGACTGCAAATCTCCGGTAACCTTAGACTGTGTATTGACCTGATATTTTGGACTCTGCTCTCGTTTCTCTGCCTTATCTGGTGCCCTGATCTCAGACCGTGTTTTTGGATTTTCCGTGCCCTGCCTGAGCAATCGTGACACCCAGCTTCTTCCCCGTCAACAAGCCTAGCAGGGACAGAACATGCAGCTGCGCTGATTTGGGATGCTTCCAAGGTTTGTCTTTTCAAGCGGTGTAGGAAAAGTATAAAACCAACGGTCTAGCCACATTTAGAAAAGCACATACACGGTGTAGTGGTTAGGAGCGGGAACTCTAATCTGGGAGAGCCGGGTTTGATTTCCCCACTCCTCCACATGCAGCCAGCTGGGTGACCTTGGGTCAGTCACAAGTACTCTCAGAGCTGTTCTCTCAGTGGCAATTCTCGAAAGAACTCAGCCAGTGTTCCCTCTAAGCTGAGTTAGTGTGTGCTAGCTCACAGTTTTTTAGCCTCCGGCTCACACATTGTGTCAGCTCAGGAAGGAGGGCTCCAGAGCAAACTCATTTATGCAGCAGCCAAATCGCTCGCTCACAACCTTTAATGCCAGTAACTCACAAAGTAGAATTTTTGCTCACAAGACTCCACATCGTAGAGGGAGCATTGCTCTCAGCCCCACCTCCCTCCCAGGGTGTCTGTTGTGGGGAGGGAAAGGAGATTGCAAGCTGCTCTGAAACTCCTTCGAGTAGTGAAGGGTGGGGGATAAATCCAATCTCTTCTCCTTCTCTCCTGCCCCCCCCCCCCCCCCCGAAAGGTAGCAGGGATCCGGATCTTACACAGGAGACATTTCACTTTGTCTAGGGGGCTTTCTCCTAAGCGAGTGCGTGTCAGATTGCAGCATACAGTTATCGAAGTCTTGGATTTGAGCCTCGGGAGCTCCAGGCCAAGACAGCCTTTAGCTGCCACTGGAGAGGTTCTGTTCCTACCAGAAATCGACAAGTCGAGCCCCCCGCAGCGAGGCCAGAGAAATCCAGCCAACACCCATGCAGATAATCAAGTCGTTCTGGAGACGAGTGCACAAAACCCACCAAGAAAGGTAAGCTGACAGTGCCCAGCAGGCCTCCTGTGAATTGTCTGAATGCTCAGACACAGTAAGGTTTCCCTGGCTCGAAAGCCAGTCGAATCCAACTCTAGGGGGTGGTGCTCATCTCCATTTCCAAGCCGAAGAGCCAGCGCTGTCCAAAGACATTTCCGTGGTCATGTGGCCGGCATGACTAAACGCCGAGGCGCACGGAACGCTGTTACCTTCCCACCGAAGCGGTACGTATTTATCTACCTGCAATTTCTTGCTTTCAAACTGCTTGGTTGGCAGGAGCCGGGGCCAGAGATGGGAGCTCCCTCCGTCACGTTGTGGCACTCGGGTCTCGAACTACCAACCTTCCGGTCTGCAGCTTGGCGTCTTAACCTCTGAGCGACCGCAGCCCCTTCAGACACAGCAATGGGTGACAAACGAACCTATCAGCAGAGGAGAGGGCTCCCCCCCCCGCACTGCCCTTCGGCCGGACTCTTCTGGCCTAAAGCCAGGCTTGTGTGTGAGGTTCTGTGTGCTGTAAGAGTGACGGGGTGGAACATTTTCTTCTCTCATCTTTTGGGCCAACATCATCTAGTCCTATCAAGAGCCCGCCCCAAAATAAAACCCGGGGGTTCCCAATCAGAATCGGCCCTCAGCTCCCAGGAAAGCGCCAAATACCCCAGAGCAGCCTTGTCCTCACTGAACCCAGCTGCCAACATAAGATGAGCGTCGCTCGTTGAACTGAGCCCAGCTTGCTGCTCTTTGGCGTCGAAAACGATGCCAGAAAAGTGAAGAGAGCTCATTTAAGCCTGGGGTGTCAAACATAAGGCCCGAGGGCCGGATCCGGCCCGTCCAGGGCTCTGATGTGGCCCGCGAGCAACTAGTGTGAGGAACAGGAGACTGCTCAGGGGAGAGTGAGTAGTGCTGCCACGATTGTGGCTTCAGCACGGCACGGCAGAACAACCTCGTCTGCAGCAGTCAAGCAGTGTCGGAGCGTCTGCCCAGTGCTGTACTGCTGGCTCTCCAGTCCACGTATATGAAAGCCAGTTTGGTGTCGTGGTTAAGTGTGCAGACTCTAAGCTGGGAGAACCGGGTTTGATTCCCCACTCCTCCACTCGCACCTGCTGGATGACCTTGGGCAAGCCATAGTTTTGGCACAGCTGGTCTTGGAAAAGAGCAGTTTCTGTCAAGAGTTCTCTCA